AAAGCAATCTGACGACGAATGTTTGTAGCGATTGGAGAACACTGAGAACACGAGGACTTTGTGAAGTCAGTCAGTGCTTACAAGCAAATTCATCAGCAAGAGCCGAACGCTGATATTGATTCAAGATTTGATTAAGTCTCCATTCTGAGACAACGCTTGGAAACAGATTGAAATTAACTTCATTCTCTTACCATTTGTTGAAAGCGATTGCTTGTAAGAAAATTTTGCCGAAACCAAATCAGCATAAAAAGAAAGCCGTTCTGTCATTTTCAAATTTTTAGGTTAGCAAACTAGAAATTGATGATAAGTTGAGTGAAATGTTGCGACAGATTACATTTGTGTTCAGGCTTTGGAATGTGAATCATGCTAAGGAACCGTTTACTTGTTTGATAAATATCTCACCCCGTTATGACAGATCATCTATTCGTTTAACAAGTACCTCAGTCAGGATATGAGCCTCAGTTTAAGCCTCAGCTCAAATGCAATCAATCACGATAATTCACTCTGAATATCGTTAATGCAAACTAGAACGGCGCATTGCTGCGCCAAGCAGTGATGCGATTTGAAAGAAAAATTATTTGAAAAAGTTCAGCGCAAAAAAATTCGAATGTGTAACGAAAAAAATCTTCGGAAAAAAATGAAAGAAAAATCTTCGCAAAAAGTGTTCGCGTGTTATCAATAAACACAGCCTGTGAGAGGAGATAATCTGAAGTATTCAATCAAATACAGGTGAAAACCACCACATTCCATTGTTTCAGAATGTGGAATGATTTAGGGTGGATTGTGGTGAAGTACATTTAATCTTGGTCAACTCTCACTGGCGAAGCAATTAAGAAAAGAGTTCGTGATTTTTTGATTCCGATGCAATAATTTATGATAGTGCTTTTTGTTATTGATAGAATTGTTGCGATCAGTAAAGCGACTTTAATAGATGAGCTGATCGCGATGGCAACTGCTATCAGCAAGCTGTCTTATCGATGAGAATGTTCATTTCTATCCTTAAGACTATCATTTATGATTTATAAAACTCAATGTTGAGTTACAAATGAAAACAGAAAAAAAACGCAGCTTGCCACCTTCATACAATGAGGATAGCAACAGAAAGAACGGCAACATAGAGTGGAATATCCAAAACATGATCATTATTACTTGGATTCATTGAAGAGCATTTCGTAAAAAATAGTGAGCGGTATCTTGAATGATTTTTAGCTTTTTCATATACCACAAGTGTTTCCAAAGGACATCGAAATCACAGTGGTGATTTGCCAGTGAAAACGATCAATTTTAATCAAAAAAGTAAATACTTGAAGAAAACTAACAAAATCAAGCCATGCATTCACATAAACAATTTGATTTTTCTCATCAACATCGATTATTTGTTGTAAGGACACTTTTAAGTAAACCTGAAAATACTGTTTTCCCTTATGAATCTTTTACTCTTCTTCGTTATTTATTTGAACTGCACTAATTTTCCTCAAAGAAACGATTAAAGCGAATTGTGCTAGTGTTCGTCAATCGTCAATCTGTCCCTAACGTATTAGCATGTAATTAATTTGATCTCCTCAGATTTTTATCGCCTTATTGTATGATTAAATGTGATCAAACATTGCGAACAAAACTGTTCTTCTTTGATAGTGCATATCCTATGGAACATTTATGTAGACTGTGCATATTTTTGGAGTATCACAGCTTTAAGACTTTGTTCGAACTGATTCAAAAGCATTCATCTGGATTAACTGTGAGTGATCATTCGCAATATTCGAATGATTCGTTGAATTCATGGAAACTGCAATAGAAGACAATTATTTTACGATGAGTTTCACATTTGCATTCAGATTGAAGCCTTATGTTTCAGTGAGATGAGCGAAATTGAAGCTGTGAGTTTTTGAGAAACGAAACTGATTGAAGAGCGTTTAAATGAGTGAACAACAAGGGAACGTACGATAACAGGTTGGGAATGGTTGGCAACGGGTCGTTCCAAATTATTGTAGTCACGCATAAGATCTTCGTAGAGACGTCGTTCATGATAGCTGGCTTGTACGATTAGCAAGTGCACCAAGAACAGTGGTAACAGTTGTACGATCAAACAGTAACGGTAGAAGGAGGCCCGCTGCAAGCCCATTTATTGTGCTTAAATGCAGCGTTATTGTTCTCAGCAAGCAATTGCTACATCAACTGAGTTATTTCCAGAAACCGCAATGAATATGATCAATTCCAGTCTCTCTTCGAAATACTTCTGCACAAATCGCAACTCTTTATTCTCTTGAATTGCACTTCCTGAAACAAAACTTTCGTATGAATGCGAACATCAGTTCAGCAACGCAACGTCCGAAAATGACTGTCGCAGTCAATAACTGACTGAGTTGGATTCGCACGATATCAGAAAACGATTGATAAATACGAACATTGTTCACACAGTTTCATGAAAGTCTTGCTGGAGGAAAACGAAAATTTGATTTCATTGTGCAACAAAGCACGATCAAAAAGAGGGATATCAACTAATGGTGGATCACAAAATTGCCGTAAACGATGTAATGAAATTTTAGTGACTGGAACATAGCGAAATTTGATATTGCTGAAAAACGAGGCGAAAATTGAATTGCTGAGAATAGCGAAATGGCAAACGTAAACGATGCTTTTTGCACGTTTAAACTGCCTGCCGGCAATCCATTGCCTTCATTGTTTTGAAGTTAATTTTGATCGATTAAGATTCAAGCGATCACCACCACCACATCCAATGAATTTGAGTTAGTCCTCCAGAGTAATGTATTAATCGAGAGTCCAATAGAGTTGGATTAATTTCGGTAAAGTGGAACGCAACCGTGGCTGCTCCAGGAATGCATAGCAACACTGAACCAAGAAAATTGAGATTTTTGTTCGACAGACGGCAGTTGCAAAAATTTATCGTTATATTTTTATGAAGTCGTCAAATTAATGCGAATATGATCTATGAATAAATGCAGTTTCATCTGTTGATAACAAGTTCAACTTGATCGTTATTTGTTCACCTCTCAACCGATCAAAATATCAAATCAAAAAAGCTTGAGAAATGATGATTGATTAGTGCGTTGGTGCTATCAGTTCTTTCAATTACTGCAGAATACAGCTTATCACTCAACAAAATTGCAACCGTCCACGATCTAAGAACTCAGAATCAGGACAAGTCATTGGAACTGAAAACAACTGAAATACACCATCGCTATTCCAAGAGCCCAACTGAATTTGAAGATGATTTTTTTGCAAAATATCAAAAAAAAACAATTATTCCAGGAGTTCACAGGAAGCATATGGTTACTCAATGAAGCGATATTTTTACGGTACGACAATATTTTTGCAGATTGAAGCGACGTGATAGAAAATTCAGTTGGTCGAAATAGTATCATGCGTTCAGATAAAATCTACTGAGTGCGAGCGGTAAGACTAATAGATTGGATGCTTCCTGCAAGCATAATTAAAATTTATCTTTTGATTACGCGGCTATCTTATAGCATTGCCTTTGACACATATCTTCTCATGTAAATCCCCAAAAGACGCTTGTCAACACAAACGAGACAAGAACAGAATATGAAAACAGCAATCAAATGAAATTCACTCTTCATTCCAATAGTGTTCATATGAATCTGGGTTAGTCTCAGATTTACACAGATGTGGAAGACCAATATGTGAATACAGCAGCAACGCTTGTTTGCGAACATAATTTTGGGAACTCCGAAATTCATCCTAAATGCTAAATTTTGAAACGGCCATCATAGAGAGAGTCCACGGAATTGGCTAAAATGAATGTTTTAAAGATCAGTAAATTAGAGGCTGTCAGCCAACAATTATGTGTAATTGGATCTTGCCGAACAAATGAGTGGTATGAACAGGTAGATTATTTGGTGTAATAACTGTGTGTATGCATATTACTAGTAAGTGATGTAAAGTGAGTCCACATCACTCAAAAATATTTACATTTCGTCAGTAATACTTCAGAGGTAACAACAGCTGCTTTTAGTTATTTTCAGGTGAGTGGTCTCAATTAAGAACGCAACGATAATTTACGGCAAATTTCAGCCGTTTTACACACCTGATTCAGCAGGGTTCTCAAATCCCTTCACGAACACCATGCACTCTTTAAGGAAACGTGCGAGTTTCGATGTTCATGAAGTTGTGATGTTCTTCAAATTGTTACCTAATGATATTGCAGTTCGTTTCTCTCAATGATTCACTTTCATTTACGAACTGTTTATGAAAGGGGCATATTTGCAGCAAATTATGCGTAATGACCAACCGAAATGATCACTACTGATGGAAAAGTTTCGAAAAATTTTTGTATTATTACTGCAATCTCTTTTAATTCTCGAAAAGATAACAGCTGTCCAATGCTAGAGCTTTGGTATCGAACAATAGACTTCAAGGACTCCTTATATTGCAATCAAGCGATTTCATCTGACAGTAAGCATGCATGAGTGTAATGAAAACACACAGGATTCCATTGTCAAGAGCAAATAAAATATGACAACTTCAATGTCATGTGCTTGCTTATATTTAATTATTGCTTTTATCAACAGTGACGTTTACGAACTCATTTAACGATGAAATTTGAAATTTTTCAGCTTTGTTCCGGCTCACAATACCGTGGTATCAGAGACAATGAAAAGGATAGGTAAGTGCGATGCTGTATTTGAGAAAAAAAGGAAGAATCGAATGGATGTGGAACGGAAGCCATCAACAACTGAATGTGTGAAAAACGAGATATTTTTGATGGAAGAGAATCAGTCATGAAAATTCTTCCTAACATTAAATGGAAATCCACTAAAAGGTGTGTGATTGCGTTTCATGGATTCGTTTCGAGTGTTGAGAATTGATCTCGTTCTCGACGTGCGTTCGTTCGTCTGTCTTTCAATTAAATGCATTAGAAGGCGTAAATGTGATTTTTGAGAGCAATGTGTGAAGTACGATGGCTGGCTGTGGCTGCTACTGCTAGCACATTCATACTGAAAGAATGCGGTGGCAATTTAGCGGTGTTGTTGTGTCACTTCGTAAGCCATTAACACTGCTCATTCGTTTCCTTTCGTTCAGTTTCGTCTCGGTTTGTCATAGCCATTGTTATAGGCATGGGTCAAACCGAACGAATGATGATGTCAATGCATGCTCATTGGAACGCTTCACGATTTTGGCTCACAGAGAGATTTGCAGCAAAAAAAAAAAACAACGATGGACCTCATCGTCCCTCCCGAGAGAGTGATTATTCGACTTGAAGTTCTTGTTTTTGTGCAGCGGACGCTCTTATCCACTTGTCTTCTTCTTCTTACTCCCTCTTCCCTTTGGCTCATTGAAATGCTCCTCAGCGCTCATTTCCCTCTCGAATTATGTACGTTCGAAGAGCAAAAACGCTTCGTTCCATTCTCTACTGACAACTGCAAATTCTCATCAATAATTTCGAACAATCAACCCACTAAAAACTCACACCAGCATGCAATCAATTAACGCCGTCATACATTATTTCCACCTATAATACAATAAACGATGTCTGCTTCCCTTATTTATGGGTTCAACTGGCCAAACCAAAGCACATAAACAGTCAAATTAGTGCACTTCATATCAATTGAAAAATCTTCGTTCAACTCTAAGAAAACACATTAATGCGTCTACATGAACATTGCATACTTGCGAACACAAAACCAAGTCGAAACAAATAACTCAGATTCCATGCTCACTATCAGATACTCCGATGATCCCATGTTCGGTTTAACCTGAATGAATTAGGAATTTTGGTGCTCACTGCGAAATTCGTCTCGATTTGTGATAAATGAAATGTTTTCACTCAGCTTTCGCCCACTTTACTTCGGTTGTCTAGCAAAGCGAGAATGACACAAAACACAGATTACAATTCGACCGGCAGCTATAAAGTGATAAACGATATTCGAGCCAGATGCAGTCATTGATCAATGAGAATTCAAAACTGGAAGATGATTTATTACTGGCATAGCGAGAAGCAGAAGTCATTGCTGTAGGATGACTTAGATTGCATGATGCACACGCAACTGGGAAAAATAACTGGTAAATGTTCATTTTTAAACTGCTAAGANAATGTTCTCATTCGTTTGAAAGCCGTTCATAAAAAGCGGCAACTGTGAAATGGACTTCCTCTCAATAACACCTTATCGGATATCGTCAAATTTTTTGACAACATGAAACGTGAGAAGACTTTGAGCACACTTTCAATTTATGATCATCAGTGAATTGCAAACATGCAATAACGACAGGCCACTCGTACACAGCTTAAAATCTTCAGAAGAAACTTCCTGACTTAATTTCCTCTGCCCTTCACAAGAGAACAGCAACTAAACCACTGCACCATGTTAATTTCCTCCAGATAGGATTGTTTCGGCTCGTTCTGACGATAATGCCGATACGGAATTCGATTACTAGGAGTATCAAAAAGACACGCAGATAACGCTGAAACCTAGTGCTTTTTTTGCACATCTCTAAAAGATCTAAAACATGATTGCTCCGTAACGAAAAATAACTGAAGAAATGAATGCATCGAACGGACTGAAACCATCGAATTCGTCTAACAATAAGACGAAATCAATGAAAGTTTGAAACTGATTGCAGCTGGAGGTGCGATAGCCGCAACGAATAAAAAGTTAATCTAGTTGGTAGTTGTTAAGCGATTCATGATCAGGTTCGAACTTAACATAATGAAGAGCAAAGCAACTGAATACATCGATAGAAAGACGATAGACGCTACCCAAATAAAGTGACAAATTCAGAGTATGAATAAGGAGAGCAGATCAATTTTCTGAGGTGAGAGTGCACATCGGGAGTTACGTTTTTTTTCCACGATGATATCCATGAAAATATTCATCCGAACTAACTCTGGAAGTAAAAACAACCGAAGAATTGTGGGTGATAACGATGANAACGATGAAGTTGCTGATGTTAACGGATCTAAGGAGTGAATTGCGAGAATGAAAAATGTTCGCTGGAATTAGCCAACACTTGAACCGGATAGTTCGGATGAATATTTTCATGGATATCATCGTCTCAACTGATCCATCATTTCAGCAACACATTCATTCATTCATTTCTTTCGCAATCTTTTCCGCATCGTCCATAATTCAAAAAATTTTTCCT